ACCCGCCGCGGCCGGCGACCCCCAGGCACAGCTGGAGGCCGACAAGCGAGCTGTCTACAGGTGATGCAAGCCAAGAGCAGTGTGCATTAATCGATTAATGCATTAATTAATGCATTATTTCATTAATGCATTGTTAAAGCGTCGCTTCGGCGAGGCATTAATTAATGCGTTGGTTAATGCATCGATTCGTTGATGCATTCATTATTAAAATGCTTTATTAAGCCGCTATTATTCAAATGCATTAATTAACACACAGGAATGGGGGGATTAGCAATTGGCTCCTTTTTTAGCAATAATAACTATCGATAATAGCGCATGGTGGCGGAGCTCCTTCGCGGACCTGGTTTTGCAGCACACACGCCGCCCCCCGCAAAATCTTCACCCCCCCCCCAGAAAGCCCAAATTAGCCTTTTTTTTATTTTAGCGAAACCGTGCGATTTGGGGCCAAAAAAGCACCCAGAAGGAGTAAAGTCACGTATTAACCTGAAATGCGCAGTTCATGCGTCCCATACGGGGTGCGAGCCGCAACGGGCGCGGGATGGATGAGTCCCTTCGGTCCCCTTTTTTGTCTCTTTGGAGATAATAATATATAATATTGTAATATATGCAGTAATATTATCGTATAATTGGAGTAAGTAACACTATAATTATGTAAATAGTATAATTATAGAAGAAATATATAATTATGTAAGTGATATGTAATTATTTACAATATTACAATGTATACAGTAATGATGTAACAGTAATGTATAAGATTGTAATATAATTAGGATTAAGGTTTAAGATTAAGGATTAACCCCCCCTATTAATGGCCAGGGCCGTGGGGGCTTGTAAACCAAAAAATTGCACCTCGGAAGTGAAGGAATTAAAATATTTTGACTCCAAATATTGAAATATTATGAGTCCGAAAGGTGTGGAAAGGCGGATGAAGGCATGGAATAAACCCACTGGTTTTCCAGGAAAACGTAAAGGATTATTCAAAGCGGGTCTCAAGATTTTTTCCAATGATGGAAATATAATTTTCTCAAGGCAAAGGAGGCCATTCAAGAAAAAAGCCCGCCTTTTCTTTGCACTTCTGCATGGATTTTTGCAGCGTTTGTGGGATAACAAAAAAGCAAAAAACCCTCTGGAGTTTTTACAGCCTTCATCTGAAGGTCAAAAAGATGCCAGAAATACCTTTTTGAAGGTATTTCCCACCCAGAAAAGTGGGGCAAAAATTGTTGGCTGGTCCCACGCGTGGACTCGGTCGCCCAAACCTGGATGCTTATTTTTGGGTACCAGCCAAAACTACCCCCAAATGTATTTTTATCTCTAAAAACACACCCAACGAGCCCTTTTCTGCTGCATGCAAAATCTGAATATTCACCTATACAGTGTGTGTATCTGTCGTTAGCTATCGAATGCACACGGGGAGGGGGGTTTAGCCCTCCCAGGGCTGTACCCTCCACCCGAAACGATGGATTTTTGTTAATTTTCAACAATCGCGCCAAGGCAGAAGGCAGCGGCTGTAAGTGTCGGTTGATCAACCTGGAGGGAAATCGCCGGGAAAAATGCGCCGGGAAATATCAAAAGCACTGGACAAGTCACCCCGCCGGGTTTTATGCTCTAGTGGGAGGTTTATCACCCATTAAAAAAATAGAAAAAAAGGGGAAAAAATTAATCCTCCCCCTCCCTGCTTGGCGTGGGAGCATCTTCGCAGGGGCTGGTCCAGCAGCATCACTTCTCTGCTGCAATTTTTTCCCAGCTAAAGTATTTTATTCGCTTTATGCAACAGTGGGGCTGGGACTTCCCGACAGATCTTGCACCAGTAAAGATGATGTTCCTGCGGGAACCGATGCCTAAACCACCCCAGCACCGCAAACTGGATTTTTCCAAGTGGGAAGCGGACGGATTTCTTTGCATTAATTTTATTTTCTGGTTTTTTCTTCGGAGGGAGGACAGGCGTATATTGGAGCTGGGTTAAAAAAAAAAAAAAAAATAAAAATGCATGTTGTGATGTGCCCACGGTGCCGCCGGCTCGCGGGCAGAGCCCTGCTGAAGGTGCGAAATTAGGCCATTAGAGGAATTCATTTCTCTTTATTAGCCTGTGTCGAATCCTTTTTATTAGTGGCTGCGACAGACCTCTCTCCTGCAGGAAAATGTCAGGGCTGGTTCAGCCCTTTTATTTGGAGGATTCCCTGGGAAAAAAAAAGGGGGTTTGGCAAAACCATATTCAGCAAAATCAGATTTTTTTCCACCCCCAAACTCTTCCTTGTGCCGTGGGGGTGATTTTCCACCTCCGTAACACCCACGGTGGGGAAAATCCTCCTGTTTCCCCCCGCATCCTGGATATCCATCTATTTCCCCCCCTCCAATTTCATAGCAAGGATGGGCTCTAGCTCTCAATTTTCACGCCCCTGCCTCCACCTGCAAAGCCCCATGGTGGCCGTTCCCTTCACCTGCCTGTTGTGGCCACAGGAAGGCTGGAAACAGAGAAAACGGCATATTTTTTTTGCATGCAAAAGGGGGAAAAAAAAAAAATGCAACAACAATTCAGCGTACAGCTCGTGGCAGAACCCCAAATTTCACTGCTCCTCGACACTGCGCTTGACTAGGAGCCTCGGTGCTCTCCCTTAACCCACCCCTGGGGGTTTTGCACCTCCCCCTTGTTTTGCTTTATTTTGTTATTTTACTTTATGTTATTTTATTTTGGTTTTTTAATTTTTATTTATTTATTTATTTTATTTTATTTTAGTCTGCCCTATTTTAGTCTATTTTACTTTATTTCATTTTATTTTATTATTTTATTATTTCATTTCATTTCATTTCATTTTATTCCCATATAAAAAGCAAACCATCCTCCCCTCAGCCACGTGCCACCCCCCCTCCTCCTCCCTGCCAGCGCTCCAAGACATTCACGGGGGTCAGGGGCAGCACTGCCCCAATTATTAATACTGAGCAGTGCAGGATGATGCCGGCAACGGCCTTAAACCCCCCCCCCCCCCCCCCCCCC